GCATCTTCATCTAAACCATGTTTACTCCTTATTTGCGGGGTGATGTATGGTAAGGCCTCGTTCAAGAAGCGTTTCAAACTTAGGGTAACCATCTTCTCACAGAATGTATCCAAGTCCAGCTCACATGCATTATATTCGCAGCAAAGACTGCTGCCTTTACAGTATTTCTCATAACAATCGTTTTGATAGGCCACAGCTTCTGGAAACAGCCATACCTCAGCGTCGTAATTGATGGAGTGTAACGCATCCATCGCCAGTGCGTCCAGTTCCTTTCCAAGCCTGCTTATTGCTGATTCTAAGTCGATGGCTTTAGGCCAGTGCTCTTCGGAATACATCATCCACATGTCGAAATAATCTGAAACAATATTTGGCCGTTATTAAATGAACAAATATTGGTAAAGTTATACTTACGATAAAATTGTGGAAATTCTTAATGAAATATTGCGTATATTAGATATCTATATGTGTTTAAAAGTAAAAAAATATTTACAGTGACTCTACCATGGATTTAACTAATTGATTGCTGGCCAACTAGATCGATTCTTATATGAGACCTAGTAGTTGAGTTGTAACACGGCTTTTCCCCTAAATAGGCCATGGCATATTGGCCAGTAGAATCATTTATCATAGCAATGACTTCGGGTGGCATTATTTCAAAAATGCGTCTCGGTAACCAACACTGGAAAAGCTCCTGTGAGTGCCGATCAATTAAATGAATAAGTAAACATTTACCATATCTGGTATCTTTGACCAATATCGTTTTAATAATATAAAGTTGACCTATAACCAATGACTTTAGTTCTCTTTGGTCCAATATTGTGGGCCAGTCTCCAAGTAATTTATTAACCGCATCAATTTGCGTTTGAGCCATAGTAGAATACAAATAAATATTTTTTTTACCTGTATAATACACAATACTACACAATACTACACTCAGTTATTATTTGAAACTTCTAAAGACTCTTAAAGCTTACGATTTTAAACTGATTCCATTTGGATATGAGGTCGCTATATATCCTCCCTAAAAATCCCCACCTCCACTATATTTTCCTTCTCAATATTCATAGTATGTAATATAGAATACAATAGTAATCACTAGGAGGTAAATAGTAATGACTATTTTAGCGGTACTTACAAGGTGTATAGAGTAATGAGATGTACTTACTATGCTCATTACACTACTCAATTACGTTCATTAAAGTATATAATTTAATGAATAATTGGGAGGCACTTGCTAATTGCGCGAAGGTTGGGATACTACCCCTTCCAACAATATTTACATCGCGCGTGTCTGCCGAAGACCGGTGATTCACTTTAGCTATGGCGGTTGAGAGTCAAGGGTGTGCATGGCGCCGACTTATTTCCCCTATGCTACAACAGTAAACAAGAGAAGTACTTAGACTTATTACACTACGTGATATACACAGTAAATACTGTCTGAGAGGTATGCATATGGTGTAATGAGAGGTACTTACTATGCTCATTACGCTATGTAATTACACTCAGTACAGAATAATTGGTTGGTCCTTACATCACTGTGTGTACTGAGAGGTACTTACTATACTCATTACACTATGCAATTACACTCATTACACTATGCAATAACATGGTGTACAGAGTAATTCGGAGGTACTTGCTATTTGCGCGAAGGGTGGGGGGTACTTGCTAATTGCGCTAAGGGTGGGGGGTACTTGCTCGAAGGGTGGGGGGTACTTGCTCGAAGGGTGGGGGGTGGGTACTTAGGGTAATTACTAATTACACCAATTGCCTCTGACCTTGCCTCTGACCTTGGTCCAGAACTGGCTAATCCCATCTACTATCCATGTTAACATTGACTTTGAATATCAACTTCTTTTTTCATGAATAAAGTAGATATAGGCTACACATTATACACTACTTACGACAAATTGTCAGTTTTTATATCTATTTCTTAAAATAATGTGATCGTAGAAAAAATCTTGTGTGCATTTTGAGCGAAAAGCTCGTTGCCGCTTTCGACAGATGGCCGCGCTACGATACGCGTCGCGCGGGCAACTTTGTATCACTTTTCGCTTTTAATACACAAACAGCTAATATCAGTCCTAAAATAAAGCTGTGTCAAAGTTTAAAATCCGTGATTGTATGCATTCACTAGATCCTTCCTCCATGTTCACTAGTCAATATACAGTGAGCATCATAAGTCTTACCCCCCCTAACTAATTCGTTACTGGAGTCTTGTTAGAAAAATCGCCGAGACACGTCGATTTTTGATTTTCACAATGTACATTTTTGTATAAATAGTATAAATTTTCACATTTAAATTATACTTTGACTAACATATACTCCATAAATGTTTAAATTTACGCTCACGCTTTTACTGTAACGTCTATATTTTTTCAATTAATTAGTGTCTCTAGTGTAATTAGATTTCTTCTTCTATTGATACATTTTGCATTTATTGTTTAATCGGTGCCTTCTGAAGACCCTAAGAAACATAAAAATTCTGCTAAAGAGTTCAGATCCGATAGAGGCCATATTTGAGCCGTCTTTCTAGGTTAAAGACATTTTTTTTACTATATAGCTTTGTCAGATCTTCCACCTATGATTTTATATATGGTAGGTATCGCTTTTAAGGTTGCTTGGCTCTCCGATGCCTACCAATGATTTTGCATGATACCTGGTGTTTTGCTCTTCAACTTTAACACAGGTTACATAGTTTAAACTAAACTTTTTTATACTTAGTACTTTCAATAACCTCTCATATTACTTCATTGGTTTTTGAACAGTCTGATCAGTCAGATTAGTTCAGCCCATAGACAAAGTTATGTCGAACAATATCAAAATCATATGCAGTGCGAATTTTACTTAATTTTGACTACCCACTCGTATTTCGCAATCTAGCAGCGAACTTAGGAACTTGAAAATAATTTCCATCGATTTCTCTTAACCACTTGTGCGTACACAATTTTTTTTTTAAATTGTACAGCGCATAGTTTATCCTAGAGCCACCGACAACCGTCATACTTTCTTATTTTAACATCCGGTGCTTTTAGAAAACAAGGAATGTTTGTTAAAATAATAATTAGGAATAAAAAATCGATCTGATATCATTAAATATTTACTGAGAATATTAATTAATAGTTCCCTTTAAGACTGTTACATGTTTTCAATACACCTAGCAGATGATGACGAGCTCGTCGCCATGTTACGCCAACGTAATCGTTTACCTCACTCCTAGAATGATTTTGGTGTTTGCTTCACAACAAATACACTTTTATGAAGGACTAGTTGGGGATATGGTTCAGCCTATGCGGAAAGTCACTTTTTTCTTATTCACTAGTTCCTATTAAATCGGTACTATGTACTTTTGAATTATTAATACCTATTCACGATTCAAGCTAAGTAAACGGCCCTCTGGAGGAAATTTGTAGAAGGTGCCTATAAGTAGGATATTCTTCAGTGCTGCCAGGAGTAGTGAAATTTTGCTACGCGTCGTCGGATTTTTAGCTCTCGAAGAAGTGGATAAGACCCTTTTTTAAGTAGCAAAATTTGTGTCTAGTAATATGTAAGCAAACTCTATGTATATTTAAGGATTTTTTTATAAAACCGATATATTATTTTTTTTTAAATTTCAGTTCATTTATTAATTTTGTTTTAAAATTAGTTCATCATTTGGCAACATTGGCGTTCGTGTTCTCTGTTTATATTTTAATTTGATTTAATTATAATTCGAAGTTTTTCTTACTTGTGAGCTTTAATTTTTTTATTTCTTATAGTGTGTTTATATTAAAAAATGAAATTTGCGAAAAATCCCCCAACAAATTGCAATCTATATGGTGGTAATGTCAAAATCAAAACTGAAATGTTCATTATTTTCCAAGCGTAAGTCGTAAAATTTTGTTTCTTACGATAAATGGATATCTACAAATTTACATTATTGAGATTTAGCAAAATTTTGTATAGGATCAAACTGCAGTATCTGCATTGTGAGTTATATTGCCGTTTACATGTATACAAAGTACTACACCATTCACTTTATAGTATAAGAATAAGGATAGTAAGATTTTTAATTAAGTTTATCAATAATAAATGTTAGGTACCTGAAATGTCCTTTAAACCACATAATAAAACGTTCTGCGTTTAGTAAATAAATATTTCTAGATGTTTGTGTAACAACCAAATTAGTATAAAAATTAGTCTTAAATACATGATAAATATTATATTTATGACGAAAGCACGGAAACTAAACGCTAAATAAAACTCGAACACACTGTTATATAATGAGAATATTATCTAAAAATAGTTAAAAAATCACAAATACAAAATCCCGACCAAAACAAACGCAATGTAAATAAACAAACATCCTACTTATAAGTGACAAATAACAGGCGCGCCAAAATAAATTTGAATCGCGAATTGATTAATAAAAATGCCTTATTGTTTTTAAATTTAAATTAATTGCACAAATAGAATCATTAAGCACCATAAAAGATACCTTTAGATCAATTATAATACTCGCAATATAAAGTTGTGTATATTTTCAAAGAATTATTTTATTAAACAAGAAAATTGTTCAATTGCGTCATAGTTCAATTAGTTGCAGTAAAGTTCATAAACAGTAAATTTTTGCAATGAAGTGAACATTTCGCTCTCTAAATTCTTAACCAGCAATTGACAACTTCATCATTTGAAAGTTATTGAGAAGTTTAAATGCAATAATGAATAGTTCAAATGCAAACAAAATTAATTTTCTCGAGCGATAAAAAAGTAGAACGCTCTTGATCCACTGATTCTATTTTCGGTAATTTTTTTGTTGTAGTTGACATTACGTATCCCATCCCTCTATTGTTTTTATTTCATGTAAATAATGATTAAGAAAATAATAAAGGAAATAATGAACAAGATAAAATTAATTATGTATTAACATTCTTTTTTAATTTATACCCCTCGACTATTAATTTTATTTCATGGAGGAAAATATAGTTATACCGTTTTTTGTTAAAATAAAAAAAAATACTTACCCTGTTCATATTAAAACTAGGCATAGGTTCGATAGTCGGACAAGTCCCTAGATGATACGAATGCATCTCCACATGACCTATTATAAAAAACACGAAAAACGCTCCAATACTTTGCTTCAACATCTTTGTTTGACTTGGTAAATACTGGGTACCGTATACTGTAGACACTTCTTTATTATTGACTGACTTAATTAAATTAAACAAGTCTTTTTATAGTTTGACCCTGTACAGTTGTCCAGTTGAATAATCTTATCTAACACGATTAGTACTTCAGAGCAGGGTCGGTTTGAATTTAAAAATGAGAAGATATAGATATAGTCAGGGCCGTGTTAAGCATGAGTACAAAAGCGTTTTTTTGCAGGATTTGCATAAGCTATAACATCCCATCTATTTGTATTAAACCTACTTAACAAATATTTTTCATCTTTTTTTTAACACTCAATATTAAAGAGCTCTTTCTAAATAGGTGTAAAAAGTTAATTTTTTTGTAGAAAATTTTGGTATAAGTAGTATTGTTTTGTACATAAGACACAACTATTTGACGTAGGTATTACAACATGATCTATTATTATGTTAGTATTACCTAAAAATACAAGATACCTTCTATGTATTTACTTACTAAACTTTAGGGAAGGATGTCATTCGTATTATGACATGCTTTGTGTTTATCAAAAATGAGTTAGTTACAGACATGTGATCTGTTTTGGGATTTAATATAATTTAAGTTAGGTACCTACTAAATATAAAATACAATATACCAGAGTCGGAAAAATTATCCGGCTCGAAGTGAGCAAGGATCGAAGCAAGAGTTCGGCTCGGTCCGGCTCGTTATATCTATACGCACCTTTAGATAGTACTACCTATATAGTTTTTGCAACTATCCTAATGAACACACACTCGTTTTTTCAACGTAAATTTATCTTTGTATGGTATAAAAAAACGTTATTGGTTGAAAATTCAACGTTGAAATTTTAGTTGATAAGTTATAAGTATATAAAATACTATTTTATAACGTATATGTTTCTAGTAATTTTTAACATAATGTTGGAAATGTGATAAAATAATACGTTTTTTTTATAACATTTGGTAGTAAATAATGTTATTTTCCGCGACATTTCAACTATTTTTATACGTTTGGTTATTAACCAGTTTTCGACGTTTTTTATACGTACGTGTGCTCATTGGGATAGAGTACCTAACAATAAAATTATACTGTCCAGTTACAGTGACTATCCAAATGTTACTTTGACTATATATTCTGGGACCGTTTTGCCTATCTGTATACCCAGTTACTTTATTTAAGCATATTAGTGGGACTGGTAGCTGGCAGTAACCGATTCACTGGTACTATATAGTTTTTGCCACTAGAGAGTAACAATAAAGTGATATTGCCCAGTTCCAGTAACAACCCAAATGTTACTTTGATTTTGGGTGTTTTCAGTTTCAATAAATGGTATCGGTGTGGTAACAGTTACTTTTTAAGAACCATATAAAGTAGCCTTACCTAATAAAATACATAGCGATATTAGTACCAGGGTATACCCCAGCAACTAACGCTTCTTAACAAAACTGAAACCAAAAGGATTTGGTACCCAGTGTGTTACTTGGGCGACTTATACAGGTACGGAATTTTCAACACAGAAAATATACCATATAAATAGGAAAATGCACATATTAGGTAGATACCACTGTCGCTTGTTGCGATAAATATGTTGTAATGGTGCGAGCAGAAGTCGTACCGATACTAGCTCACATAAATCTATATCTGTTATGTGAATGTTTCTATTAAACTTTGTTCAACTCATTGTAAGGTAAGATACTCGTAGAGGGATGAATTAGGGAGAGTATTATTATTATTATTATTATACTATCCGTGTTAAAGATTCCTAATCTATGTATAGTAACATACAGCTCACTATCAATGAGCAATAGATATGTTTTGGATATGCCTTTTTTTGGAGAAGACGTAAAACCTTAGATCACTATTCTATAGTCGACTACGGTAGCGCAGGTGTCTACGGCGTCGCATGCATTTGCGAGCCAATTTTCTGTTAAACGAGACACGGTTTCAGATCCTACGGAAGACCATGTGCATTTATTTGCTTGGTTCTCTATAGGATTTGATGGATGCCGTATTAGCAGAAATTTAATTTCTGTTGATAAGACATCCAGATTATTAAAAATCACCATGCGTTACCGTTTTAGATGATGGTGGGTGGGGTTTTCCTCACCTGTAAGTCAAATGGCACCATCAATCATCTTTAAGTCGCCCCGAAGCGCCACGGCAAATAATACTAATAGCCGTCCCTTTCCCCTGACAAGCTCAGCTTTTGGGGTTTAAATTCACTCGTAAGGGGATGAATTAGGGAGAGTATTATTATTATTGATATTGAGCTCGCTGAAAGTCCCTACATCTGCTTAGAACATCAGAGACTTCAGCGTCAGTGAAATGAGCCGACATTAAATTATTTAATTAATTAAAAATACTCTTTAAGAAAGATAGGACATGTTTGAAACAAGTTTCGTAAGCAAATTAACTCTAAATAGGTAGAATATTTTTAACCGAATGAGTAGGTATTTATTGCATTCGATTTGAAGTCCGACCCTGTTAATTTTTGCTATACTGTATAGTAACTACATTGAATGACCACAGTAAGTCAGTTAGGTCAAGAATATGATAGTGACGAACTTGTTTGTTTTATTGTTGAATCAATGTTTGACTTTGTTGACTGACTAGATCCACGTAGTTTAAAGTGTAAAAGATTAACGGGTTCCTCTGATTTAAAGTGATTCATCGAATTGTATTACATTATGAATAAATTCGATAATAGCAAATTTTTATTTTGATTATTGTAATTATTATTTTAAAATATTTTCACAGGAATTTCCTGTTTTTATGTTATGATGTTTAATATTGTATTGACTAACTTTTTCTTCGAAATTTCTCAAGAATTTAAATTTTTACAAATATTCAAATTTATTTAGGTATTTATTATGCATTTTGTCTAATTGCTTCTTAAATCGCTAAAAATGTTTTTCTACAACAAATGAAAAATATTTTATTTCACATTTTTTTATGGATTCTCGTTCGCAATTAAAGATATAAAACCAACTCAATGCCAGCCATCTCCAACTCGTGACCCCCGGGTGAAGTTCGGGACAGATGCGGAAAAATATATTTGCGGACATGGTACATTTGGGGAAATCTCCTAATTTTTAGAATAATGATAAAATTTAAGTGAGATAGTTGCGGACCTATCCCTATTAATGGTATACCTGCTAATGCCTACTAGTAATGCATAACCAAAACAGACGTAGAATAATGAAAAAAATTTTTGGTTTACGGGCATATGCAGTGAGGACGTATAGGTTGGAATAAATTTAATATTTTTCTAAGAGTATTTTAACAAAATACTTTCACAGGTCAATATTTTTTATTTAATTGCGTGTCTTACACTACAATTGGATGTACTAATGACGTCACCACTTTTGTGTACATGACGTCATCGATTATTTTTTAAATAGAACAACTTATTTTTTTCATCATTTTTGAATTCCCCAATAATGTAATACTTGTGAATTAGAGACAAATGTTAGGTATATCAGAAATTCTTATTCTAAAATTTTATTGAAATACTGGACTAATATATTTTTAATTTTTATTAGTTTGAATAATTAAAAAAAAAAACGAAATTAATAAAAAACTTCCCTTGTTTATTGGTTCAGCATTTTTAATAAAATTTATTCAAAATTTCTGATATAACATATTTATCTCTAATTCACAAACCAATGATTTTAAGTATACATTTTTGTAATCGTCTATTATTGCGGAATTCAAAACCGACGAGAAAAATATGTTGTTCTATTAAAAAAAAAATAGATGGCTTCATGTAAACGAAAGTGGTGACGAATTTATTCCACCTTATCCTTATACATCCTCACTGTATAACTTTCATTCACACATTTTGCAGGCTTAGGATTGTCGACACAAATATGTACGTCTTTAAAAGATATATAATGTTTTTTGGTTTATTGATTTTTATTTCTTTTTGTTCTTTTGTTTTTTTTTTTCTTGTTGCTTTTTTGATTTTTTATTTTTTTTTGTTTTTTATTTTTTGATTTTTTTTCTTTTTTTTTGTTTCTTTTTGTTTTTTTTTCTTGTAATATTATTATATACATATTTATTTCTTTTCAAATATTGAGTGGTTATTCCGGCTTCTGTACAAAGGCAAGAGTTTTCAAACATGTAGTATAAGCGATTCCATTAGTCAGAGGTAGAACAGTGCACGCCAGTCCACTAGTGGTAGTACGCTTCCACTGCTTTAAGCGAACATGAACTCCATCTCACCGAGATACATACACCATATAAGATTAGAACGAAACAAATAGAAGAGCCAGAAGTGGTAGATACGATTCATTTCTGCACCCACCTTATAAAACAAAGCAAGGTTCAGGATGTGGAATATACTTCAGATCCTTAAACCTAAATATAAATTGGACTGTGAACAATAGTGCCAGTGTAGTTCAAACCGAGCTCACGGGGATTCTCATAGCAGCAAAAACAATATCACTAAAAGAAATTTGCTCATCTATACAAATAGCAGACAGGCACTACTCGCCCTGGACAGACCACGAATTTACTCAGCGTTAGTACTAGAATGTCACGAAGCTTTGGCCGAAGTATTCATCAACAATGTGGTCACCTTGAGATGAATCAAAGATCACGCCAAATCGAAATGTAACCGTCTTGCTGATTCACTTGCCAAGAAGGCAGCCAACCAAATACTTTTTGAAACTGGCCCTTCTATTTGGTCAATAGGTCACGGACCTAATTAAAAAACATTTCCTTGCGAAATTCAAGCATAGATGGGATGAAACAAGAATGCAGTATTGTCAGGAAGCTTTTAAGTTATCATAGTACTTTAGAAAGGAAGTTAGGGTATCTGCTTTCTTTTGTATTAACTGCTTGCACTTTAATTTACAATTTTTTGTGGTAAGTTCTTTGTTTTTTAGATGCCTGAATGTATTCGGATGGTTTTTAAACGAAATTCATATGTTAGAGCTTTCGGCACTAATCAGAGCCTTCTTCAGTATGGTGTTTAATAATTTATATTATTTTTTCCTTTACATATTGTTATATTTGTTTGTTAGTTTCTAGTTTACATCTTTTTTAAATTTCTTTATTTTAGGGTAAAGTTATTATGTTGCCTTG